TAATCCTTATGGAGAACACATAATAATCCATTTTCATGCGATAGTGATGGCCATTACGTTGTTTTAAGGCAATCACAGTATCAGAATAGGGAATCATCCCAATTAATATTTTAAAAATGTCAGGAAAGGCTTTTTTAGAAGAAGTCTGTAAATTGTGCAAGTGGCTGCTACTGGCATCTAGTACAAGAAGAAAACTGAGCACTCGCCTTGATTGCATCACTCATTGGGGGTTTTACTCTTTGACAGGTTTTGGCATTTTATCAAAACAGAGTTATTAGCAGAACACCACCCACAATCACAGCGCTTGTTAAATACAGAACCTATCCTGAAAAAGAATGATCATAGCAAAATTTCTATCTAATTTTGATTGTTAGGGGCTAGATTGTGCCATTTAGACACAGCTCAAGTAAAAGATGGTGCAAAGTACAACCACTCTAGTGGGGGCACCAGGAGCCATTCTGTTCTGCACCACTTAGGGCTCCCAGGTACAATGACAGGTTGCAGCTTACTACCCTCCACCCCTTCTTGGGACACCATATGTCCATATAGCATAGGGAGGTAGAAGTCCCTGTGTTCCCAGACTGGAATTCAACCTGGCCCTTATGTGGGCAATGTTACCGGGGAAATGATCCCTCACCCACACTGTGCTTGCACTAAAGTCCAGGCATAATCTGTCTCTTAAAGAGCAAATAGGGGATTTTTTTCACATTGAGCAGTAGTGCAAGGTACCTAATGGGTGAGGCTACACAAATGAGCAATTGGAAAGCCTGTCTCCTGGCACTTTGGGTAGATATTATTTCTTCCTTAGGCTGACTTAAATTTTCATCCTTGTTTCTAAGCATCCACGTTCACATTGTTCAAACCATGTTTTCTACCTCTTCTAAACCCTTTTTAGCCTCCATTTTGAGTATTAATGCAGTTAAATGAAAGATATTGAAGAACATGGGAGAAGAACAAGGCTATTAAAGAGTGATTGCTACTATAGAGAGCTGCTTTTGTCAATGGGCCTGATTTTGCACTCCTTTTGTGTTCAGAGCTCCCACTGCAGTCAAGGTGCGTTTATGTTGTGGAAGAAGTAAAGGATATAAAGGAGTGATTCCTCATGTCTGGAACTGATTGTAAGTCCATGAATATTCTTCCATATTCTACCCTCATGTTAGTCTCTGTGAGCCTTCAGTGACAACTTGAACCTTTTGAACACACATCTTCCATACAGATGTGCTTAGGAGTCAAGTGCAGCATAGACCTGGTGCTGGCCACTGCATAGCAGCAGATTTTCCCCTCACCTGTCCCCCAGTGTGGACAGTGGTGGTGGGGAGGAGAGGGAATGGAGGTGTAAGGGAATTTTGCTAATTATTTTGTGCCATTTTGCAAGGCCTTTCATGCTTTTGCTTTTTCAGTGATATACTGATGAAATGGCAACATTCACATGGAACACATGCAAGGAGGTGAATTGTCATGTTTTCATTGTGAAGCCATTTTGGCTCAAAAGCAAGGCATTTTTACTGAACATATGAAAAAAAACAACAGCAAACAGAGCAAATATAGGCCATTCCTGATGTACCTAAAAAGCACAGGCCCAGCTGGTGTAAACTGGCATAGCTCATCATTCCTGCAGCTTTAGTACTTGTGATTATGTCACATCTGTAACCAGAAGGCCACCTCACCTGGTCTACAGAAGAGTTCATGGGTTCTTTGATATCCATTTTAGATACATTGAATAATTGTAAAACTGCATTACCGTAGCCAACTCTTCATTGCACTGCTGGAGAATGATTTCCTATATTATCATAGATTTAAGCTAAATATGTAAAAATTAAAGGCAGCAACTTCAAGACTTCATCCCGCAATCCCTAGATTGAGTGGGCATTTTACTTGCACATGAACTTCAGATCAGATATTTATTTTGGGCCTGATCATGCAGTATGCATGGAAGCCAACAGGAGTTTTTCGTGTGGTAGCCAGCATTTTAGCTATCGCTAGGTATTGGGCTGGGGACTTCTAGGACTGAACACATGAGGCTCTGCAGACTGAGAGAAAGAACCAGGCTCTGTGGCTAGGCCCTGTGATACTCTTCCTCTGTGGATCCAGCCAGTAGGTAACAGTGGGAGGTCTTGCGGGATCAAGTTCTTTGTTACTGCAACCATGTCAACATGAAACATTCTTAATATTACATTCATATTATTAATGTTTTACAATGCAATTAAAAATAGCTCTTGCCCTAGAGGTTACATGAAGGGAATTATTGCAAAATATTTACAAAAAGATATTTTTTTAAAAAATGGTAACACCAATGTTTAGCGGTGTTTTCTGGATGTTGCTGAAGGAATAATTAACAAAGGATGAACCAGAATCAATAATGCTTCCTACAATTTGACATTATTAACTGTCTCCATACATGCTTGATAGAGGTTGAGGCAGTCTATGGATTTATTATTTAGACTTAGGGTGTAGAATCCAGCCAGTGAAAATGGCCATTTATTCTGATGGAACAGGAATGCTGGGGGGTGGGGATGGAGGGTTGTTTTTAAAATTTGTGGTAGAAGCTTAACTCAACAAATGGTTACAAGGAATACTATCTACAAGATCCACAAATACTTACAATCGTCTATATACAGATAGGTTTCAGGGTAGCAGCCGTGTTAGTCTGTATCCGCAAAAAGAACAGTAGTACTTGTGGCACCTTAGAGACTAACAAATTTATTAAAGCATAAGCTTTCGTGGACTACAGCCCACGAAATATGCATCCGAATATGCATATGCATCCGAAGAAGTGGGCTGTAGTCCACGAAAGCTTATGCTCTAATAAATTTGTTAGTCTCTAAGGTGCCACAAGTACTCCTGTTCTTTTTTTGTATATACAGATAGAGATTTATTTATTTAACTGTAAAATCTCCAGCCTCATACAGTTCTTTTAAAATTAGAACTGGGGCAAAAACTAATCATTCTAAATCCAAATGTGTCATTAAAAGAAGGAAGAGAGAGATGTGTTTCTGTCCCTGAGAATGGGCTACTCAGAATCAGTCAGTTGAATCAGCACTTTTAGTGTGAAATCCTGGCCTCATTGAAGTCAATAGCTCCAGAATTCCATCCTTAATGTTTTATGAAAATGCTCTTTGAGGGTGAAAGTCATCCCTGTAGTCATGCCTGTGCAGAGGGCCAGCATATGGCCAATGCACCACATAAATCTCACTTAAGCTCATTGGAGAAAGTAAAAGATCCATCCCTCTGTGCTAACGTGGGACTTAATGGATAGAACCTCTGCAATAGATGCTCTGCAAAGGGTTGAATTTCACCTCTAAAGAAGAGTTTTGCTGTAAGAAACATTCTGGAATAACAACATTTTATTATAAATCCAAACCACTAATAACATTTAAAATCAAATCAAGAAGAAACTAAATAGTTGAAAAGATCCCAAATAGTCTTCCAAAAGCAGAATAATCGCTAACAGCCTTCTGTCCCTGAAGCACCATTCTCATTCCGCTAGTGACCCATGTAGAAGACAGGGTCTCCCTTTGATTTTTTCTCACATTTTCTTAAAGTGTCAACATTTGATATGCTGGTATCATAAATATTTTACAGTCTTCACAACTGAGATACTCATTTCCTCAAAGATGCATAAATCTGTCTGCAGCTTATTACACTCATCCTGAGTATGTGTTTCAAATCATGCTATAAACATATAACCTGTATTGTAGACTAATAAAATAGTTTCTTTTTTTCCCATATCAGAAATAATTGCATCTTACATTTACGAGTTTTTTTCAAAATGTACAATTGGAGGGAGGGATTTTCTAACTGTAACAAAGTAATGGATAAAACTAATTTAAGGCTTTTTACATAGGTACATGGGTATATTATTACATGGAAAAATAAACTATTGCTAAATGAAGAGAGAGTTTATTATGGAAGAACTGTGTTAGTCATCTAGTTTAACTGGATTTATATAAATGATTTCAGGTTTAAATTAAAATTAACAGTTGTGCAGTAACATACTATATAAAAACTTGTTCTTTGTTTACCAAGCACCACCCACCATCATTGCAAAAGTATTCAAGATGAAGAGTACCTTGTGCTGCAAATAGCCCCACTGATTTCATGTAGACACCACGAGGAGCAGGATAACAAGGTACACCTCTACCCCGATATAACACGACCTGATATAACATGAATTCGGATATAACGCGGTAAAACAGCGCTCCGGGGGGGGGCGGGACTGTGCACTCCGCCGGATCAAAGCAAGGTCGATATAACGCGGTTTCACCTATAACGCAGTAAGATTTTTTGGCTCCCGAGGACAGCGTTATATTGGGGTAGAGGTGTACTAAGTGAGAGTAAGGTTGGCAGAATCTGTCCCTTAGGATAAAGCATTTCTTCTGACATCTTTTAGCCAGATTTTGGAACCCTTATATATCTTAGTAAGCAGTTACTCACATGAGTAGTCTCATTAGCTTCATTTGGGATTACTGATGTAAGTGCTCACCAATGTGAGTAACAATTCCAAAATTTGACCCCTAATTTTTAAAGTGCAAATGTAATTAGAAAAATGACTTTGTAAAAATTTCAGTGTCCATGGCACATCTGCTTCCTATAAACCTATAGAATATCTGCTTACTTCTATGAGAAAAGTTATTACTACTTTTCATTTAGCTCTGCAGAGTTAACACAGCGATGGGAGTGTGAGCTGGATGCGATTCTGGCTCATGCATCATCAAATGATAAACTGAGCTCCATCTGAGCTTTCTTTAACACTAATATTCATATACAAGTTAGAAAGGAAAGCTCGAATGTCAAGTCCCAAGTTGAGTTTTCAGGGCTAGAAGTCTGTATAAACAATGTTATGAAGTGAGCAAATTTGGTGCCACCTCCTGTGTTCCCTGAGCACTCAAATTTCCCATTGACTTTGATGGCATTTCACACACACACACACACACACACACACACACACACACTACTACT